CTCGTGGCGGAACACGAACCGCCACCCCGCCTCGGGCGACCTCCCCGTGACGGTGCCCGATGTCACCACCGGCTTCAGTGCCCCACACGGTGTGGTGCTGCAGTTGATGGTTGGGAATTGAGCTAAATGGCACATGACCATCACACTTTCAAATTGAGTCCCACCTTGAGAATCTGCAGACATTAGCAGGAAGTGACGTCCCTATGGATCGACTGTTCCTTCCCGTAGAAACGTGGGATTCTCAGCACAAATCATAAAGACGCTGTGATTTCAATTGACATGTGCTGACAGACATTCCGCGACTCAGGTTAAACACAAAGACAAAATAAACGTGACTGGGTTTCTGTTGTTTACAAGTTATTTGTGAATACATTGGTTTTAATACAAATGTTGTACAAAGCACGCTTAGACCACCCTGCAATTTTGTTGTAGGTTTTAAAAGAAATTCATAAATTTTATATATACATACATATACATGTCCGTTGAGATTAATGAAGCATTAGTAAAGGAACGATAGGTTGACCGCACACTTATTGATGGATGCCTGGTATTTCACGAGAGACGTAAGGATACATTAATTGCCTGGTGCACGGCTGGGTAATTACGTAAAAGGCATCACCACTGTCATTGACAGACATGTGAAGGGATGGAGATGCGTGGAGCTATAAACGCGCTATACACAAACAGACAAAGTGTACTGAGGGGTTCGTAAGGGGACATCACTGCGTCCATTATCAAATTTACTTTTAAAAATGGGAATTCTCACATCGGCACATGCCACTGTGGTCATCCATTCCTCAATGATACACAACACTATTGTACTTCCCAGCACAGTACAGGCGTGAATCGGGCGGTGGTGGCTGTGCTGCACGCGGTCACTGCATCGCGCGCTTTCAATGGGGTTCTGCGGCCGTCTGGAACGCTCTTCCTTCCGATAATAGGAAGCCACTGGGCGCTGTGCACTTTTAAGTCCAAGTTGAAAACTCATTTATTTAGGGTTGCGTTCGTGTTAAGTTTGTTGTCCATCCCCCGCACCTCAGATTAGCAAAGTTGGCTACGTACAGTGCGAAATAAGTTTAACATACATACGTGGCCTGTAATCCAGCACTGTGGAGTCCAGCAAGTGAACTAATCGTCATCTGTTTACATCTGTACAGAGATATAATTTTACCCCATCGTGCGCGTCGGTTTTCTCTGGGTGCTCGGGGTTCCACTCACTTGCATAAACAACTCATTAATTGGCTGAAAACATCTTAAAATTAAAAACCCAATGTACTACCCTCCCGACAAAGAGTCATATGACTCAGTGGGGATTTCCTGGGTAAATAAATAAATAAATACTGCCACTTGTGCTCGTACACTCGTCTCCTTCAACACAAAACCATTGTCTTGTCAAACACAGAACCATCGTTTTCGCGAGATACAGACTCATTATCTCATACAACCGATGACTCATGTCTCAACCAATGCAAAATCTGTCTCTAATCCAATACAACCCACGTATCGTCCAATTCAGAATAATTATTCCCATCTAACACGGAATCCTTATCCAATGCAGAACCCTTGTCGCATGAAGTACAGAACCCATGTCTCATGAAATACAGAAACCTTGTCGCATGAAGTACAGAACCCATGTCTCATGAAATACAGAAACCTTGTCGCATGAAGTACAGAACCCTTGTCACATGCAACATGAAAGCTGCGTAAAATCCGGTAGAGAACGTTCGTTCCACCCAACAGAATATCGTCAACATCTCACGTGTCAGAACCTTCAGCTAATCCGGCACACAATCATCGTCTCGTCCAATGTGCAATCGTTCCTCGGATAGAACACTGGGGCATCTTTCATTAATGTCTCACAGTGTGTGAACTCGCTTGAGTTAGGTTGACAGAATCCGGCTAGATGCCACAGTGGTCGGATGTCAGAGGGTCTTGAAGTTGGCCGGGGACGGTGAATGACTACGACTCTCTAGTGGACAGTGAATAACTACGACTCTCTAGTGGACAGTGAATAACTACGACTCTCTAGTGGACAGTGAATGACTACGACTCTCTAGTGGACAGTGAATAACTACGACTCTCTAGTGGACAGTGAATAACTACGACTCTCTAGTGGACAGTGAATAACTACGACTCTCTAGTGGACAGTGAATAACTACGACTCTCTAGTGGACAGTGAATAACTACGACTCTCTAGTGGACAGTGAATGACTACGACTCTCTAGTGGACAGTGAATAACTACGACTCTCTAGTGGACAGTGGATAACTACGACTCTCTAGTGGACAGTGAATAACTACGACTCTCTAGTGGACAGTGAATAACTACGACTCTCTAGTGGACAGTGAATGACTACGACTCTCTAGTGGACAGTGAATGACTACGACTCTCTAGTGGACAGGGAATAACTACGACTCTCTAGTGGACAGTGAATAACTACGACTCTTTAGTGGACAGTGAATAACTACGACTCTCTAGTGGACAGTGAATGACTACGACTCTCTAGTGGACAGTGAATAACTACGACTCTCTAGTGGACAGTGAATAACTACGACTCTCTAGTGGACAGTGAATGGCTACGACTCTCTAGTGGACAGTGAATGACTACGACTCTCTAGTGAACAGTGAATGACTACGACTCTTTAGTGGACAGTGAATAACTACGACTCTTTAGTGGACAGTGAATAACTACGACTCTCTAGTGGACAGTGAATAACAACGACTCTCTAGTGAACAGTGAATGACTACGACTCTCTAGTGGACAGTGAATAACTACGACTCTCTAGTGGACAGTGAATAACTACGACTCTCTAGTGGATGGTGAATAACTACGACTCTCTAGTGGACAGTGAATAACTACGACTCTCTAGTGGACAGTGAATACTACGACTCTCTAGTGGACAGTGAATACTACGACTCTCTAGTGGACAGTGAATGTCTACGACTCTCTCGTGGACAGTGAATGACTACGACTCTCTAGTGGACAGTGAATAACTACGACTCTCTAGTGGACAGTGAATGACTACGACTCTCTAGTGGACAGTGAATGTCTACGACTCTCTAGTGGACAGTGAATAACTACGACTCTCTAGTGGACAGTGAATTACTACGACTCTTTAGTGAACAGTGAATGACTACGACTCTCTAGTGGACAGTGAATAACTACGACTCTCTAGTGGACAGTGAATGACTAGACTCTCTAGTGAACAGTGAATGACTACGATTCTCTAGTGAACAGTGAATAACTACGACTCTCTAGTGGACAGTGAATAACTACGACTCTCTAGTGGACAGTGAATAACTACGACTCTCTAGTGGACAGTGAATGACTACGACTCTCTAGTGAACAGTGAATGACTACGACTCTCTAGTGGACAGTGAATGACTACGACTCTCTAGTGGACAGTGAATAACTACGACTCTCTAGTGGACAGTGAACAACTACGACTCTCTAGTGGACAGTGAATGACTACGACTCTCTAGTGAACAGTGAATGACTACAACTCTCTAGTGAACAGTGAATAACTACAACTCTCTAGTGGACAGTGAATGACTACGACTCTCTAGTGAACAGTGAATGACTACGACTCTCTAGTGGACAGTGAATAACTACGACTCTCTAGTGGACAGTGAATTACTACGACTCTCTAGTGAGCAGTGAATGACTACGACTCTCTAGTGGACAGTGAATAACTACGACTCTCTAGTGGACAGTGAATAACTACGACTCTCTAGTGAACAGTGAATAACTACGACTCTCTAGTGGACAGTGAATAACTACGACTCTCTAGTGACCAGTGAATAACTACGACTCTCTAGTGGACAGTGAATGACTACGACTCTCTAGTGGACGAAGTTATTTCAGTAGAAGCAGCCCTGCTGCAGGAATGTGGAATTGCCACACTGCAAACGGTAAAAATCCACTTTAATGTTTGTTTTGTTCCTGCAGTACTCCTCAAAATGCAGCACATGAATGATATTACTTAGCGCGTGTCAAATCTGACACAAAACGCACGCCCCAATTAACACAGAACCCTCACCGCATCCGTTAATAAAGCCCTTGTCTTATACAATACGAAAGCCTAGTCTCACTCATAAATTATTCACAGCCCTTTGTCAACGCACTGCTGGATGAATGCCTCCTCCCCAGGTGGGTGTGTGTGTTAGTCATTGGGTTGTTATAACCCTGCTTCACCAGGCTTGTCTGCGTGGGTTGGTGAAGTAGGGGAGGGGGGGTGAAGACTGGTTCAAATGCCACTCGCCATGGCCCGGAATTGAACTCAGGTTGCCGGGTTCCCTTAAGGACAATGAGCAAACTACTCTGCCACCCCTGCCCCCACCTTTCTCATTCGGGTGCCGCTTTGTGGCTCAGGGATCATCAGCCAATGATGGCGATAACATTCCCAAGATGCTCTGTTCAACACGGTACCGGACTGTAAAAATGAACACAAGCGTTGTTAACTTCTGCTCGATTCACTATCGACTACGGAGGAATGTGAGTGACGTATACAATTACTCATTAATTGCTGCCCGAATATAAATGTACACAACAAGGTGTTGGTAAACGGGAAAGCCACCCCGGTACACAACAACAACCGTCGTTCACCACAAAGGGACGGTGACGTCACCACGGCGCTTGTGCCAGGCTAGGTGCACTTTGAGGCCACATGTCAAAGTGTCGAAGACTCGCCAGCAGAAGGTGACGGAACAGACCCAGCAGGTGCCAAGGGTTGACTGACTGACATGACTGGAAGGCGCACTAATTGTGCTTGCCACTGTGCCAAGGGTTGACTGACTGAGATGACTCGAAGGCGCACTAATTGTGCTTGCCACTGTGCCAACCTCGGTGCAGTCCGCGCAACCTCCTGTGTACCAGGCGAAGGAGTTAACATCTCAGTCACCGCGGCGCCTTAACAACGCCTTATAACAGAGAAAGATACAGTAGGTTAACGTTTCGGCCGACGTACCTTTTCATAGTTCAGAGATGGCAAAGAGATTGACTTATAGTTGGGGATCACACTTTATTTACCCTGTGTTGTCTTAAAACATTTGCAGAAACGTCACACGAATTTCTTTTGAATGAAATTGACAGTTTTTTTTCCTAACCAACTATAACTATTTTTAGCCCTTTCTCAATCCACTGCTCGATGAAGGCCTCCCAGAGCTACGTCCATCGTGGGGTTGTTTGACCATACTTCACCATACTCGTCAATGTTGGTTGGTGAACGGGTGTGGTGGGTGTGGTGGGCCAGGCCCAGTTCACGCCACGGGTATTAGCCAAGGCCAGGAATTGAACTTAGGTCGTCAGGTTCACGACGCTGCCAACGACCCATCTAGAACGATTGACGGCTTGGTGGTGCCTTGACGTTGTCTAGAAAGTGGACTCGTAGAGCGATGCAGTTGACATGATGTGCAATATCCAACTCCACACCAGATAGCGCTCCCGTGCCCTCTTTCTGCTCTGAAGGAGGGATATTGCTCGAATCACTCGCCGAGCCATTCACTTTTGTATTGTGAGCTCACACGGAGAGGTTGATGGCTTACACGGGCACGCGAGGGTTGCCACCTGCCCAGCTTTGACCCTGACAGCCTGCAAACTGGCGTCTGTGTTAAAGTGGCAAGGATCGTTTGTGACCGAGATCTGCCGGTATAGCGTTCAACTTTATTGCAGTCACAATGAATACATAGGTTGTGATATCGATGTCGGCTGACTGAGAAACGTGTCCAGGTTTGGTCTGCGGAAAATGTCCCCCACCCCGGCCCCAGCATAGATCAACTCACACCGGGGGCAGGGAATCCTTCCCTTACTGTGGACAACATCGGATTTTGAGACACCATATCGTGGAACCACACATCGACACACACGCACAGCTTAGAGCTATCCAATAATAATGTGCAAAACGATTCTGGGTGAACTTTACAGGTGAATGAGCGCGCTAACATTAGAGACACAGTGTTAGTAGCGGGTTCAAAACATTGACCCCCACCCGCCCGAGTACCCAATTAGCGCGGCTCTGATGCTTGCTGTGGGTAAGTATGGTTTGCGGGCTGTTTACAAGTTGTAGGCCTTTTCGCCTGACCGTGGGCCGTGTGGAGTGATACGACCATGGCCCATCGGTTCCCGACCCCTGAGATGATGAATCTCTGCAGGCCGTCAGCTGGTTAAATAAAATGTTGTTTCGCTTGCGCTGTCACATAAGCACGCGGTGGCGGCACCAGGAATACGCAGATGTCGGCAAAGTATTGTGGATCCAAGCAGCTCAAGGGGACCCCTGTGAATCGAAGTCACGCGTCGGCCTTCAAGTTCTCCCAGCCGTGCCCGAGACGGCACTCGGTGGGACACGCCGAGCTGTCGGCAGGCGATGGCCACTCACGGACAGGCGCCAGGCTGCGGGTCGACACGCGTGGCGAGGAAGCGCTCCACCCACCCCGTGCCGTCGTCCACACAGGCGGTGGAAAACGCCGCGTGGAAGTCCCGCGTTGGAAGACTCGGACATGGACGAGAGAGGTGCGGGTGGAGGAGCTGAAGGGGTAATCGTCACCGCTGGCCAGGTGTGTGCGAGCGGGAGGAGTCTGAAGGATGTTCACCACAGGAAGCCACCACTTCCACTCTTCCCCTCTCTCCCTCCCTCTTGCTCCACGTCTTCTTTTGACGTTGCACCGTCCCTGGAAGTCTTTGTCGAGCCGCCGGCGGAGCCGGAGCACGGCCCATCTGCGAGTCCTTTACGCAGGACTCATCATGTTGTAGACCATGCTGCACATGGGACACGGGAGGGGAGGGAGGCGGATGTCATCACAGCTGCCTGACGCAGAAGAACGGCGCGTGTCTGGATGTTTGGCGTACCGTAGAGAAAAGCGAATTTCGTGATCTGCTTCAATCCACCGACTGACGAGCGAGCTTCTGCCTCAGCGTGGTTAGCTTCGACTGTATCCTCACAATTGATGGAGTCAATTGCGTTCGTATATGTCTGGTAATATTGTGTGATTTTAGTTTATCGTTATTATTATTATTATTGGATTCTATTAGTCTATCTGACGTATTTGTACCGGGGTCAATGAGTATATTGTTGGGTTCCATTCGTCTCCATTAGGTTCTATTAGTCTCTGTGTTCGGGTTTATTCGGTATGTTTGTTTTCAACTCTATTGGTATTGGTTTGAGTGTAGAAATGTTGTGTCCGTTTAGTCTATTAGTGTTCAATTCCATGATTACTTTTCTATTGAATTATGTTCATCCGTGAGCATTGGTTTTGGTACCCTTGTTAGCATTTAATTTTTTAGTCTATTCATATCGGGTTGTATTGAGTTGTAGTCTGTGAATGTTGAGTAATACAACTGAACATCTGTGAACAAGAGCTTTATAGTTCATCAGATTCCTCCAGTATAAGTACAGTCACTGATTCAGATATTCGTATGCTGGTTTTGATTTCTTTCAGGACGTTAAGCGCCGTGCCCCATTGGCTGGAGGAGACTTCCACCAGGCCGGCAGAGCCCCCGATGGGCACAGCTGCACCACAGCAGCTGCACCACAACTGCACCACAGCTGCACAGCAGCTGCACCACAGCTACACCACAGCTGCACCACAACTGCACCACAGCTGCACCACAGCTACACCACAGCTGCACCACAACAGCTGCACCACAGCAGCTGCACCACAGCTGCACCACAGCTGCACCAAAGCAGCTGCACCACAGCTGCACAGCAGCTGCACCACAGCTGCACCACAATTGCACTACAGCTGCACCACAGCAGCTACACCACAGCTGCACCACAGCAGCTGCACCACAGCAGCTGCACCACAACTGCACCACAGCAGCTGCACCACAGCAGCTGCACTACAGCTGCTGCACCACAGCTGCTGCACAACAGCTGCACCACAGCAGCTGCACCATAGCTGCACCACAACAGCTGCTGCACCACAACAGCTGCTGTACCACAACAGCTGCTGTACCACAACAGCTGCTGTACCACAACAGCTGCACTACAGCTGCTGCACAACAGCTGCACCACAGCAGCTGCACCACAACAGCAGCTGCACCACAACAGCAGCTGCACCACAACAGCAGCTGCACCACAACAGCTGCTGCACCACAACAGCTGCTGCACCACAACATCTGCTGCACCACCACAGCTGCTGCACCACAGCTGGGTCAGCCTCTGGGAAGGGAGCAACGCGGGCACGGCCGGCACGGATCCCACACTCGGCGTGTGGACGGTCTGGGCCCAATCTCCTGAAGGAATCAACGAGTTCAAACAAAATCATCGTCCTGCATTGCTCCCCATCGTTATCCCTACTGCGGTAGGGCAGCGATCTTAGACGGCCCCAGTCGGTCCCTCATTTTGAGGGTGTATCGCTCCGCACCTCCTACTAGCACGGTTGGTTACGTACGGTGCGAAAGAAGTTCAACATACATACCACGCGCCATTTCCTATTTGTCTTCCCCTCTTCGGAATCTGCTTTGTATTCCGGGTTTTTGAATGGCAATTTTAATACCCATTTATATATAAATACATCTCCAGACGCCTCTGCGCTCTGCTCACTTGTACAGGTAGTAGAAGTATGAGAGCAGGTAGAAGCCCAGCTTGCACCAGCCCTCTCGTCGGCAGTACGCCAGCACCTCGGCCTGCGTCGCCGTACTGGGGTCGTGCGTGGCGTCCGCCGCCGACTGCTTGTCCGGGCTCTGCATGAACCTGGGTGTTGTTGTCCACACAAAAGACAAATAAGATACCCCGTGTAGTCTTTAACAGACTGTTGGAGCAAGTGCTGTTTGCGATTAGCACCGATGAAAGCCGACACGACACGCGAGGGGTGGGTGGGTGGCCAGGAACATGCCTGACCGCCTTTGTCCCTCCAAATCACGATGCTTACCACACACCGCACTGGGCACTCGTTTGAGGCTGAGTCGACCTAGAGGAGGCCCAGAATCGGTTCAGAAAATCGTCACTGGTGTTCGCCGTGATCGGGAGTGCAACTCGGGTTACCGGGTTTGTAGCGCAGCACGCCAACCGCGATGTGACCGCTCCACACATGTACACAAAGACAAAGATCCCCCGAATAGTCTTTAACTGGCTGTCGGGGCAAGCGCTGTTAGCGAGTAGCACCTACGAAGGCCGGCGCGACACACGAAGGGGTGGGTGACCAGCACCGTGCCCACACACACACACCCACACACACACACCCATACACACACACACCCACACACACACCCATACACACACACACACACCCATACACACACACACCCATTCACACACACCCACACACACACACCCATACACACACACACACCCATACACACACACCCATACACACACACCCACACACACCCACACACACACCCATACACACACACACACACCCACACACACACACCCATACACACACACACCCATACACACACCCATACACACACACACACCCACACACACACGCCCATACACACACACCCACACACACATACCCACACACACATACCCACACACACACACCCATACACACACACACCCACACACACACACCCATACACGCACACACCCATACACGCCCACACACACACCCATACACGCCCACACACACCCACACACACACCCATACACACACACACCCATACACGCCCACACACCCATACACACACACCCATACACACACACCCACACACACACACCCATACACGCACACACCCATACACGCCCACACACACACCCATACACGCCCACACACACACCCATACACACACACCCATACACGCCCACACACACACCCATACACACACACACACCCATACACGCACACACACACACCCATACACGCCCACACACACACCCATACACGCACACACCCATACACGCCCACACACACACCCATACACACACACACACCCATACACGCACACACCCATACACGCCCACACACACACCCATACACACACACACACCCATACATGCACGCACACACACCCATACACGCTCACACACACACCCATACACACACACACCCATACACGCCCACACACACCCATACATGCACGCACGCCCACACGCGCGGGCACGAAGACTTCACCTCCAGCTGTGGTAGCAGAACAAGGGAAGGTTGACAGCAAGGGCCAGCCACTCCAGAGCGCACAGGAACATCACGCAGAAGAGGCAGTGGATGAAGTACTCCGGGAGCGCCAGCTGCTCGGGACGAGAGGGCAGGGACGAGGGCGCAGGGTTCAGCCGAGCGTCATGGCGCACGGCAGTGATCCAGAACTTTTTGTTGTTTTTAAAAGTCGATCTTTCTCAATTGTATCCCCATTGTGCTTTTGCAATCGTGGTACGCAGGATGAAGAAATGAAGACCGAAACAGGATGAGGATTTCTCCACAACTCTGGCTGTCGCCTGATGAGGTTGGTACTCGAATTGTTAATGTTGTGGGTTTACTCTGATTGGCACGTGTTGTTTACGTGACAAACCTTACTAATTGGCTGGTAGGCGAAAGCCTACCACTACTACGTGTTAAACTGAGGATGAAAAATCTCTTCCAAGCTCGTAAAGCAGCACATCACGTCGTGTTAGAAAATGTCCCACGTAGAACCGCCTCTGACAGAACTCTGGCCCGCACAGTAAATGGAAGCAGCTTCCCAACTTCTTCTGCATGAGAGTAATGGGCGTCGCATGACACTGAAATCAATATTTAATTCTCGTAGCTCGAATTGAGCTACATTAAGTGCAGAAGGAAATTTAACATAAGGTGTTTTTTTGTGTGTGTATGCATTCACTAGTGACCGGGCTGACATCATCAACGCACTCGACCTAAGAACACGGTTAAATCACTGGCGGATGCCTGGATTCGATCTGAGGACATTATTAGTGCCAGCTAAGAAATGTGTCACGCCTCAGAAATGCGCTCTCATCCAGTGCTTTGAAGGCAAATCTTGGAGGATCGCATAAATCTATGAAACTCCTGCACCCGCGAGTCCGCAAGGTGGCCAAGTGCGTCCATGGGCGCGTCTGTGCAGGAGCGCTCTCCCCCTGTGTGTGTGTGCGGCTTTCTCCCCGGGCAATCGGACTTCCTTCCACACACAACAGCAAAACAACGTCTTGACTATCAAGTGGACAAATGTCTCAATGCAGGGTCGTCACTGAGACTCGATGAGGCAATCCTGGATATTTGCTATAAAAAAACACAACAACAATAACCTGTAGATCGTCCATTGAAGCACTGTGCAGGCTCAACCCTGCTCAGCTTCCAAACTCGGATGCGATCAAGCACATTCCGGGCAATGTCCTCATCGCCCTTTGCCAGCTTTAGGTGGTGACCGATAATTGTGCTGGTCAATTAATTGAGTGGAAAGTTGAAGGTTAAATCGCGCAATAAAAACGGTTACGTGTGGCTGAGAATTGTGGACGTACTTTGGGACCAAGGAAGACATCTACGAGAACAAAAATACCAAGTTTTGTTTTTAAATATCGGTATATAAAAGGTCCGTTTTATATTTTAGTCAATCGGCGTACGTGCCTTGTGGGCGCAACATTTCCCAGCAACATCAGCGTAAGCGGTGAACTCGGGACGCAACAGCTGTGCTGCGCGAATGAGTGTTTTGCAAGGCGACAAACCAAATCATCGTGTCATCGGCAACATTCGAGGTATTCACGCCATGCCCACATCGCGTGAGGCTGTCACCAGGCCGCTGCTGTGCTTCACAGACGACGACAGCCTGCGCTAGACTCACAGGTGGCTCAGGGGCAGAATAAGCGAGTCGCAGTCGGAAGGTTGCGAGTTCAAATCCTGGTTGGGGGTTCACTGAGCCCGATCGCCCCGCTGGGGCCGATAAAGCGAATACTACTTTGTGGGGAAGCCCACAGCAATTGACCTATGAATAGACTCGCCCCTGCCAAGGTAATGAGGAATTGGGACCTCTGGCTTGGGGCTGGAAACAGGAAAACCCGCTTATTGGAGCAAGAAATCACTTTGACTTCGACATTGAGTTTCACAATTGGGGACGATATTACAACGTGGCACTACCCAATTAGGTAATTGGTGAATACGCAACGCACTTCTATATTTCAGCATTGGCAAAGTGGAATTCCAACGAGGCGGTTTATTCCCCCCCAAAAATAATTGGGCATCAAATCCCAGCGCAGGGCCCCACTAAAGCGGTATCTTGAGACTCAGTCTTGTTCTCCTGGATACATAAGTTGTATTTAATTCTTTACTTTTCCCTTGCAGAGTCAACTTGCAAACATGAGCTTTAACAAAGACAACAGATGTTCTGTTTGAGTTCTCAGTTTTGGGTATTGGTGGTCTCCTCAGATCCGATGTCAAGTTTAGCAGTAACCGTGCCCATCGGGTGGGTGAGGTGTGTTCCTGTAATCCAGCGACTTTAATGCGGGGTTGGTGGATCACACAGAGATGGAACAGATGACCATCTACCAAGCAATGACGTGGAGCCTCTAAGAGGCAGTATGGTAAGTAGGTGGTACGCCCAAAGTTCTGCATGTTTTCCCCATGTATGCTTGAGTTTTCTTCACGAATAAAAAAACATGCCCAAAAAAATTATCTGCCACACATCAGACTCAGAACCCTCCTGGAAATGAGCTTGGTGAGACTTCTCCTGAGTGAAGGATTCTAATTATCAACAGCAAAGCACATGAAGTCCATATCAGGGCATAACAAAACAATCAGGTCCAATTGAACAATTAATTAATGCCGTTATATTGTTACTTGATAATGTTTATCTGCTGATTACCTGAAACTTGTGGCAATTGGTGAAGCTCAAGGCATCGTTGTAGAATATTTAAAGTTGGCAACCTCCATGTAAATTTGCCTCTGTGTGCCATGTAAATTTGCCTCTGTGTGCCATGTAAATTTGCCTCTGTGTGCCAATGTCTTTATGAGCCAAAGGTTGGTAACCTCCATGTAAATTTGCCTCTGTGTGCCATGTAAATTTGCCTCTGTGTGCCAATGTCTTTATGAGCCAAAGGTTGGTAACCTCCATGTAAATTTGCCTCTGTGTGCCATGTAAATTTGCCTCTGTGTGCCAATGTCTTTATGAGCCAAAGGTTGGTAACCTCCATGTAAATTTGCCTCTGTGTGCCAATGTCTTTATGAGCCAAAGGTTGGTAACCTCCATGTAAATTTGCCTCTGTGTGCCATGTAAATTTGCCTCTGTGTGCCAATGTCTTTATGAGCCAAAGGTTGGTAACCTCCATGTAAATTTGCCTCTGTGTGCCATGTAAATTTGCCTCTGTGTGCCAATGTCTTTATGAGCCAAAGGTCACACACATATACACACAAAGCTCACACACATATACACACAAAGCTCAACAACAACAACAATCGCCATTCGCCACTAAGTGGCGGTGACGTCACCACGACGCTTGTGCCAGGCTATGTGCACGTTGAGGCCACGTGAAGTGTCGACGCCCGCTGGCAGGACGTCACGGGGCAGACCCAGGTGCCACGGGCCGACTGATTGAGATGACTGGCTGATACACCACCTGTGCCCCCTACTGTGCCAACTTGCTGTGTTTTAGCCACCCGGCGCTCCGCTCGTTGTTGTGAGCGTCGCTCCTACGCCCTCCATTGTTGTTGGAGGGCGACTGCCTCTAACTGCCCAGTAACGTCCTTCACGAGCCTTCTCCACAGAGGCCGCTGTTGACACCGCTGGTACAGCTCATCGGCAAGTCCACTCAGCTCCACGTCCTCCTGTACCACATCACTCCATCTCTTCTCCAGCCCATGCCGCGGCCATTTAGCCCCCTCGATCCGGCCAAACAAAAGCTGTTTATGCATGCGGTGGCTGGGCATTACCCAGCCAACACAGCAGCCTTGCCTGCTGTAGGAGCTCACCGATGGGACTTTGTCCAGATTTTTCAAGGATTTGTGAGCTCCTCACACAATCCCGCCTAGTTAAACCCAGGATGGATCGTAGGCAGGCCAGCCTAAATGTTTCTAACCGGCAAAGATGTTCCATTAGGGGGGTCCACATTTCACAAGTGTAGAGAAGGGAGGGAATGACCGTGGCCGAGAAGACCTGAAGCTTAGTGCGGAGCGACAGACCCAGTTGCTTCCACACAGCGTTACACAACTGATGAAAAGATAATGCCGCTCGACTGATTCGGAGTGAGACCTCTGCTGTTAAACCGGAGCCGGTCATGAGCACACTGCGCAGGTATAGGAAACTCTCCACTCTTTCCACAACTGCCCTATCACCAATTGGGAGTTGTGGGGGTGGAGTGTCCGATGGTACAAAATACCCAGGCAGGTGCTTAGTTTTTGTGGGGCTGATGGTAAGTCCCCACCTCTTAGTGGCAAGCTCCAGGTCCAGCAGCAGCGCCTCTAACTCCTCTTCTGAGTGAGCAGCAATTACCAGATCATTGGCATGGTTGAGCAATAGGGAGCCATCCCTTGGCCCCACCCGGACATCCATCAGCCTCCCATTGTATCTGTACCAGATGGAAATTTCTCCGGTACAGCTATTGAAGGCTTCATGAACTACGTGGTCGAAATAGATGTTAAATAATGTGGGAGCCATAGGATATCCATGTCGCACCCCAAGGTGAACAGGGAATGGCTCTGACTCCCGGCCACGTAATTTTACCCGGGCCCGCTCACCATCATGAAGGTCCTTAATGATCGTGAGCAGAGGGTCAGGGATTCCGAAAGCACGAAGAACAACCCAGAGCCCAGGCCTACTGATGGTATCATAGGCCTTGACCAGGTCAATAAAGCAGAGATGTAGGTCTTGTTGGAATTCCCTACACCTCTGCTGTAGCAGACGGACATAAACTATGGCATCTGTGCAGGACCGCCCTTTTCTGAAACCGCATTGGGGCTCTGCAAGCCTCTCCTCAGCGTGCCTAGCAAGGCGATGTGGAATAATCCTTGCCAGGACCTTTCCCGGCACACTGAAGAGTGAGATGCCCCTGTAGTTGTTACAGTTTGTGTGGTCCCCCTTCTTAAAGAGGGGGACCACCAGGACATCTTTCCAATCCTATGCAACCCGTCCAGTGGTCCAGACTGTTGTTATGATGTCATGTAGGGCAGTCTGTGCACAAATGCCACCCTCCCTCAGCATTTCGCTTGGGAGATCATCTCTTCTCGGTCCCTTTCCTGGTCTCAGACTTCGGATCGCCTTCAGTACATCCTCAATAAATGGCACCTCAGCCAGCCACTCACAGGGGGTGACTTG